TGTATGTGTGTGTATGTGTATTTGTACATGTATGTGTGTATGTGTGTGTATGTATATGTGTGTATGTGTATTTGTACATGTATGTGTGTATGTGTATTTGTACGTGTGTGTATATATGTGTATTTGTACATGTATGTGTGTGTATGTATGTGTGTATGTATATGTGTGTGTGTATTTGTACATGTATGTGTGTGTATGTATGTGTGTGTGTATGTGTATTTGTACGTGTGTGTGTGTGTATGTGTGTGTGTGTATATATAAAATTTTTTTAACCAGCCTTAGTTTTGTGTTCCAACTTACACAAACATGACCACACCTTTCCCCTATTTAGGTAAGCTGTAATACACTCCCGAAAGGTATAACTTTACTTCTCTTTCTATGTCCGTGTCTACACTGTTTTTGCTGTATTTCCGTTCTTGTATCTCTGCACGCTGTCTTTACATACAGTGTTCCCCCTAAGCAAGAAGTTTTGACATTTTGATACCACGTGTGTTTTAAAATGACTGCCTCCCCCCACTTTTTTTTTTTTTTTTGTGAAAATACACATAGCCAAAGATACGCCATTTCAAATTTTTTTTTTTTTTTTTGGTCTATTTGTCTGTCTTTTGTCAAATTTACCGTGGAACTTGGTCTGCAATTTTTCTATCATTATTTTGGTTTCCGACCTTTATTGATGATATCTTTAAAGTTGGAAAGGATGAAAGGGATCTGATAGAATCACTAGTTGTACCTGAAGACATCACCCCCCGTCTGTCTGTCTGTCGTAGTGTGGTGGCTTGTATGTCGCTACAGTCTGGAAGCTGTGCCACTGGTATTCCAAATACCAGCAGGATCACCCAGGCGGACAGATTTCAGTGGAGCTTCCAGACTAAGACACACTGGGAAGAAAGGCCTGGCAATCTACTTCCAAAAATTAGCCAGTGAAAATTCTGTGGGTTGCAGAATATTGCCTAAGACTTCGACTCACTTACTTTGGACACATACCAGGAGGAGAACATCATCTTTGATAAAGTGGAGGGACAACAAGGGTAAGGAAAACCCTCCGTGACATGGATTGATGGTGGCGGCCGCGATGGTCTCAGACATAACAACAATCATGAAGGTGGCGCAGGACCGGGCAACATCTTTTTCTGCGATACGTGGGGTCACCACGAGTCGGAACTGACTCAACGGCAACTTCACAACATTTGAAGGAAACCCTACCTGTGTGGCCTTGATGAAAACCAGATAGGTATTGATTGCGCTGATGAGGAATCCATCTGAGATTTGACAATAGTGGAAAATACCAAATGCTTTCACACCTAGGTCTTGACTGTACTCTTCACTCCCCAAACCAGAGAACTTTCAGCCTCCCACAGCCACGCAGGGCCCGCTACATCTAGCAACATAACATGATATAAACCGGAGACGCCCTCATTGGCCAGAGGGATTTATTAGAAAACAAAATCCCAACCACCTCACTGCCCTTTAGCTCACATCTGTCTTCTTGCTGAGCTGCCGGCCCTTAGTGCTCTGTTCATGCATTTATTTAAAGAGAAGAAGCTGTTCTCCTTCCATACAGGTTTCGGGCCTTTAGGTCCATGTGAGTCTGGAATGACAGAGTCATCGTGAAGGGTTTCAGCTTGATGTCTAAGTGTGTTTTTACCAAGTAGGAGTGTCCTTTGACATTTAAAACAAAGGCCTGTTCCTCTCCTTGTGGATATATGTTCTCAGCCATTTTATTCCAAAATAGGCCGGTTTTATCTCTTCTGAAAGTCAGTTGAAGTAGGTAAGCTATGTCCTTTTGCTCGTCTCTGAAGGTGTTTTTGGAAAGTCTTTACACTTTGACCTCACCTCACACTTCCATGTTGTGCATCTCCGAACGCACTCTTTGTGGCGTTTCATGAAAGTCTGATCGGCCCCTTTCTGAACGATGCTAATAGGCATCTGATATTGAAACTGATCCTTTAGCTGCGTACCAGAAAGGTTTTACATTCCATCCACCATCTCCCTTCCTTCTGTCCGGAGGACAGTCTTCCGGAAGCCTTATTTTAGAGAAAGTAAGCGTTTGTATGCAGTGCGTCTGACTGGCGAGTCTAGAAATACTTCGTTCACTGGGCACCTTCTACGTACAGTTATTGTTCAGAGATAGAATAGTTGGCAAGACTGATAAAATGCTCTCTCTACTCTTTCCTGATTGTCATTAATTCCCCAGACAGACATAGCACTTTTCACGTGTTGCCCGAGTCATTCTTTTCCTCTAGAATCATTCCCAAACGTGCAGCTGTTCACCCCGGAGTATTTGTCATCATCTCTCCACTGTTTTTTTTTTTTTTTTGGGAGGAAGATAGCTCTACTTTCATGAAAATTTTAGGTCTCTTCTTATTACCATTTTTAATTTATTTTCTTGTTATTGGACAGGATAGGATTACTAACCTTCCTGTGACACCTCAGAATGAAGCCCAGATCCACTCTCAGCTAAGGACAGATGACACCACCCACTGGTGGTACACAGAGCTGATGAGGTGCTTTGATTCCCTAGAATGTAGCCTGGGAGATTTATCAGTTAGATAAGCATTCAGAATTACTTTGTGAAAATGTTATTACTTGTTCTTTTCTTCCTCCGGCAGAACTATGTTGTTTTTTATTTTTAAAAAATCGTATCTGCTCTAATATTGCTGTATTTTAATTGTGAACATCATTCCGGTGTGTTTCAGGGATGTATAGAGTTGAGACAAGATTATATCCTTGCAGGAGTTCTGTATGGATTGGGAGGCAAGACACCTGAATAACAGTTCTCTTTCCCCAATAATGCACACTTTCTCTTCTTACCAGTTTCTGGGCCTTAATTTTCCAATCAGCATAATGAAAGGCTGAATTACATGGTCCCTAAGATTTGGCTCAGGAGCCTTGGTGACGCAGTGGTTAAGAGCTCGGCTGCTAACCTAAAGGTTGTCGGTTGGAACCCACCCGCGGCTGTGTGGAAGAAAAGACCTGGTGATCTGTTCTTGTAAAGATTACAGCCTAGGAAACTCTGTAGGGCAGTTCTACCCTGTCATATGGGGTCACTATGAGCCCGCATTGACTCGATGGCATACAGCAACAAGGTTTGGTCCAACCTTGAAATGGTATTGTTTTATGAGACAGTAATTCTTATATTTTGGTAAAATTTCTAGGTCACAGTAGTAATATCAGCGGCAGTGAGTTCTGTTATTGAGCTTTATTTTTGTCCCTGAGAATTGCTGAGTCGTTCTTGACTCTTGCCTTTTGTCCTGGGTTATTACTTAGACATACGTTTATGGAGTAGTTACTGTGTCCTGGGCGCGGAACTGGACCCTGAGGGTTAAATCAGTGAGACCTTTTCCTGCTCTCTGCTTTATGGTGTAAGCTGAGTGTCCCTAGCCCCTTCCTCACATTTCAGTTTAAATGTCTTTAGATCACCTCAGCGGATTGAGTTTGCAGCACGTTCTTCTTGATCTTCATGAGGTGGATACAGTATATCTCTTTCCAAGAGCTCATTCTTCAGGTGTTACGTAAACCGTGGGCCCAGAAACTGAAGCGTTTCCCTCAGCCTCCCTGACCTAGTTCCCTGGTAAGCTGCAGGCTTGAGTTGGAAGGAGCAGTGAGAAACGTCACCTGTGCTCCCAGCCCTTCCGTGTCTCACCAGGAGTTGGAGTTAAGTTGACGGTTTTGGCATTCAGCCAGCTGTAACTTAGTCCTGCCAGCATCCACGTGCACCCGTGATCTGCCCTACTACAGGCCTATAAGATACTGCCTCAGTCCTAAGGACTTTCTTCCAGAAGCTTTATTTTAGACAAAATACACACTTTGTACACAGTGCATGTCACTAGCAGGTCTGGAGATACCTTCCAGGTACTGGGGACAGCGCAGCGGGCAAGACGCATGAAGTCTCCGCATTATTTCCTGTTGCTGCTGTAACAGATTACCGAAGATTTAGGGGATTACAACGTGCGTTTATTATCTTACAGTCCTGGAGGTCCAGAGCCCTAAGATCAAGTGTCGATGGGGCTGTGTGCCCTCGGAGGCCCTGGGGGTCTGAGTTTCCCTACCATGTGCAGTTTCTAGAGGCCGCCTGCATTCCTCGGCTCACAGCCACATCGCTCCGACCTCTGCTTCGGTTGTTTCATCTCTTTCTCTGACTCCGTTCCTCCTGCCTTATAAGGACCCATGAAAGGACTCTCGTGATTGCACTGGGCCCACCAAGATAATCCAGGATAATCTCCCCATCTCAAGGTCCTTGATTTAATGCAGATGTTCACAGGATCTGGAGATTAGGATGTGGACACATTTGGGGGCCCATTGTTCTGCCTGGTGCAGTCCCTGTCCCCTTGTGTATAGTCTGGTAAAGTTGTGGGTTGCTGTTAGCTGCTGTTGCCTTGGCTCCGACTCACGGCGACCCCACGTACGACAGAATGAAACGTTGCCTCGTGCTGCGGCATCTTCACAGTTGTCGGTTTTGCTATTCCATTGTCGCAGGCACTGCGTGGCTAATTTTTGGAAGTTGATCACCAGGCCATTCTTTCTAGTCTGTCTTAGTCTGGAAGCCCCGCTGAAACCTGTCCATCATGGGTGACCCTGCTGGTATTTGAAATACTGGGGGCATCACTTCTAGCATCCCAACAACACAAGCCCCCACAGTACGACACACTGACAGGCAGGTGGGGGGCAGTAGTGCTAGTAGTCGGTCATCTGGGCCTCTCAGATTTATTCTCTCTGATGACCTGGCGACAGCTCACATCTATTATCTGTATTGCGATTTAAAATACGTTAGATCAGGTCTTGAGATGTGGACAGTTTTATCAGGGATATCAGTATGTAATAAAAAAGACTAGGCAGGTTAATTAACAATGCAAATGGTAGAAATCTATAAGAATATCATGCCCATAAAACGTTTTCTTAATATTTTTTAAATGCCACCCTAAAAACTTGTCAAATTGGACAGAAACGCAAATTTAAGAGACTCAGTAATTTCCGATCAGGAAAAGCTCATTTAGTAAACTGATTATCCTGAGGGGTTTGGAGTGGGAAAATAATCCACAGAGAGGATCTAGCTAGCCTTTTTTTTCATGGTTTTTTTGGTCATAAAGACAGAGTAGCCCAGAAAATTCTTGACCACTAATTACTGTGGTGTAAAAATTTTATAAATAAAATAACATTAGACATCCCCGAAGCCCGAACGGTTCTGTAGAACTGGTGATTTTTTAAAACAAGATGTCAGAAACCAAGACATTGTTAGAAAAACAAAAACAAAAACTGCGATTGTTGGAGTTCATGTAGACATTCATGACATTGCTTAAAATGTTCTTTCTTGATATATTGTTCACTGTGGTTGTGATAAGTTTGGAGATTTAAGAGTCTGAGTATGGATAAAAGTGGGAAATAGGCAAGCTTCTCACCAGAGGTATTTTTATTTTCATGTTTTATAGTGAGATATAGGAATAATTTGTCTAAATGTCTAAAGTTTAACTTCTATTGACCTTCAGGTAATATTAAGCTTATTATTTTATTTTATTTTTTTTACTTTCTAGTGAAAAAACAGTCAAATCAGAAGAAGTTGATAAAAACGGAGAGCCTTTGCTGTTTCTCTCCGTACCGCAAATTAAAGTTAGGAGCTTCGGGCAACTGTCGTGCTTGCTATATATTGCCAAAGATAAAAAGCTGAAGGAAGCACAGGCGTGTCTTGAAGGTGATATTTATACTTGAGTTTGTGATTCAAACTTTTAGAAGCACAACCTGGGGGGAATCATTTGTTATGATTTCTTTAAAAAAATTGTTCTATAATCTAACAGTTAAAAAGTCACATGTATAACTTAATAAAAATATCATTAATTTTTCCTGGCTAACATGTTATATCAAATGCCTTTAAAATGAAAGGCCTAATACTTTACTATTTGTGGGCTTCTGGGTTTCTAATTTTATGTTAATTTTAGCATATTGTTTAAAGAGAACCACATTCTAGTACGTGGGTGGTGTAAACAGTTAAAAAGTGTTCTGCTGTTAATCGAAAGGTTGGAGTTTCAAGTCCACCCAGAGGCACCTCAGAGGAAAGGCCTGGTGATCTACTTCCAACAAATCAGCCATTGAAAACCCTGTGGAGCGCGGTTACTAATTCTGAGTTTCTGCCGTCGAGCTGATTCCGACCCGTAGGACTAGAGCCCCTTTAAGATCCGTCTCGGGAGAGAAGACATGTTTCTGGGGCAAACATCTGAATCCACCGTCCCCTGGCATACTGCTGTGATGGTGGACAGTCAGCTTGTTTTAGCCTGAGAGTAGCCTCTTCCTTTAGCAGAGAGAGCCTGTAAGAATTTCACTTTCCGTTTCTCTCAGCTGTATTCCATCATGGACTTCACAGCCTCCTGTGAATTATTATATTCAGTCAAGTTCTGTGGGAAATATTTTCCTCTTCATTACAGATATATAACATTCTCATTATTGTCTAATTGTCCAACACACACAGAAGAATGGGATTGACTGCCTGCTATAATTGTGCTCCGAATATATCCTGTAAGTAGAAATACCTAATAAACCAAAACCCGGACCCGTTGCTGTCGAGCTGATTCCGACTCCTAGTGACCCTCTACTAGGTGGTGTCTTGTGTCTTGCTTCCTTGGAATCATGTGACCAGTGAGTCCGTGTGTTCTGCCACTGATCATTCTTTCCTGCTGACCATTGCCATGAGGTCGGAAGACAGTCCTTTTTCCCTTTTTTAAAACATGTCAATGTTAGGACAGCGGCCTCTTTTTTTTTTTAATTGTGTAAAATATATATAACAAAACTATTTCCATTTTAACCATTTTTAAGTATACGGTTCGATGACGTTAATTACATCCACTATGATGTTTACCATCCGCTATCCAACCACTGTCCGTGCTCTGTTTTCCGTCCCTGAACAGAAACCTGTAAGTAATGACTCCCCATTTCCTCCTCCCCTCAGCCCTTGATAATCACTAATGAACTTCTGTCTTTCTGCGTCTGCCTGTTCTAAGTATTTCACGTAAGTGGGATCAGACAGTATTTGTCCTTTGTGTCTAACTTATTTTGCTTAGCACGATGTTTTCCGGTTCATCCATGTTGAAGCATGTGTTAGAACTTCATTTCTCTGTATGGCTGAGTAATATTCCATTGTATGGATAGACCACATTTGGTTTATTCATTTGCCGATAGACGCTTGGGTTGTTTCCACCTTTCGGCTATTGTGACTAATGCTCAGCGAACATTGGTGCGTAAGTATCTGAGTTCGTTTCAGTTCTTTTGGGTTTATACCTAGGACTGGAGTTACTGGCGCATATGGTAATCCCATGCTTCACTCTTGGAGGAATTGCCAGTTGTTCTCCACTGGGGCTGCACTGTTTTCCATTCCCGGCAGCAATGGATGGGGGTTTCAGTTTCTCCACATTCTTGCCAACAGTTACTGTTTTCTGTTTTTCTTGTGTTAGTCACCCTAGTGGGTGTTACGAGGTATCCCACTGTGGTTTGATACGCATTTTTCTAATGATTAATGACTTTGAACATCTTTTCATGGGCGTATTGGCCATTTGTATTTCTTCTGTGGTGAAATGTCTATTCAAATCTTTTGCCCGTTTTTGATTAGATGGTTTGTCTTTTTATAGTTAAGTTCTAGGAGTTCTTTATATATTCTGAATATTAAACCCTTATCAGATGTATTGTTCCCAAACATTTTCTCCCATTCTGTGAGCCATCTCTTCACTTTGTTGATAAAGTCCTTTGATGTTCAAAAGTTTTTAATTTTGATGAGTCCAGTTTATCTATTTTGTCTTTTTTTGCTCATGCTTCTGCTATCATATCTATGAATTCATTGTTGAAAACTAGGTCCCAAAGCGTTACACCTAAGTTTTCTTTTAAGAGTTTTGTGGTTTTAGCTCTTATATTTAGATCATTGATCCATTTTCAGTTATTTTTGTATATAGTGTAAGGTATGGGTCCAACTCCATTCTTCTGCATGTGGAAATCCAGCTGTCCTGCACCATTTATTGAAGAGACTGTTCTTTCCCTATTGAATGGACTTGGTACCCTTGTCGAAAATCAACTGACCATAGATTATATGAGTTTTTTGGGGGGCTCTCAATTTATTCCATTGATCTATATGTCTATCCTTATACCAGTACTACTTTGTTCTCCTTTTTCAGGATTGCTTTGGCTAGTTGTGACTCCTTGAATTGCCATATGTATTTGAGAATCAGCGTTCCATTTTTGCCAAAAAAGCTGTTGGAATTTTGGTAGGGATTGCATTAAACCTATAGGTCACTTTTGGTGGTATTGACATCTTCACAATATTAAGTCTTCCAGTCCGTAAGCACAGATGTCTTTCTGTTTATTTAGATCCTCTTTAATTTCTTTCAGCAATGTTTCGTGCTTTTCAGTGAACAAGTGTTTCATCTCCCTGGTTAAATTTATTTGTAGGTATTTTATTCTTTTAGGTGCGATTGTAAATGTAATTGTTTTATTAATTTCTTTTTCAGATTGTTTATTTTTAGTGTATAGGAACTCAACTGATGTTTGTATGTTGATCTTGTACTCTGCAACTTTGCTGATTCACTTACTAACTCTAGTAGCGTTCTTGTATATTCTTTTGGGTTATCTGTATATAGGATCATGTCATCTGCAAATAGAATAGTTTTTCTTCTTCCTTTTCAATATGAATACCTTTGATTTCTTTTTCTTGCCTAATTGCTTTGGCTAGAACTTCTAGTACAGTATTGAATAGCAGTGATGAAAGCAGGCATCCTGTCTTGTTCCTGATCTTAGGTCGAAAGCTTTTAGTCTTTCCCTATTGAGTATGATGTTACTTCTGGGTTTTTCATAAATGCCCTTTATCACATTGAGGCATTTCCCTTCTAATCCTCATTTGATGAGTTTTTTTAAATCATGAAAGTGTGTTGTATTTTGTCAAATGCCTTTTTTCATCTGTTGAGATAATCATATGTTTCTTTTCCTTTGTTCTGTAATGATTTTCTTATGTTGAACCTCCCTTGCATTCCTGGAATAAATTCCAAGTGGTCATGGTGTATAATCTTTTTAATATGCTGTTGAATTCAGTTTGCCAGTGTTTTTGTTGAGCTTTTTTGCATCTATATTCATAAGGGATATCAGTCTGTAGTTTTCTTTTTGTGTAATGTCTTTGTCTGGCTTTGGTATTAGGGTAGTGCTGACTTTGTAGAAGGAGTTAAGTAGTATTCCCACCTCTTCCATTCTTTTTGGAAGTTTTTTTAGAAGGATTGATGTTAATTCTTCTTTAAACGTGTGTAGAATCCCCCAGTGAAGCCATTAGGTCCAAAACTTTTCTTTGTTGGAAGGCTTTTGATTGTTAATTCAATCTCTTGTTATGGTTCTGTCAAGATTTTCTATGTTTTCTTGAGTTAATTTAGGTAGTTTATGTGTTTCAGAATTTGTCCATTTCATCTAGATTATCCAGTGTATTGGCATACTATTCTTCATAATATCCCCTTATAATCCCTTTTATTTCTGTAGGGTTGGTAGTAATGTCCTCACTTTCATTTGTGATTTTAGTTATTTGCATCTTCTTTCTTTTTTTTCTTTGTCAGTCTAAGTAAAGTTTTGTCAATTTTATCGATCTTTTCCAAGAACCTACTTCTGGTTTAGTTGATCCTCTCTGTTGTTTTTTCTAGTCTCTATTTTATTTATTTCTGCTTTGATCTTTCCTTCTGGTAACTTTGGGTTTAGTTTGCTTTTCTCTTTGTAGTTCCTCAAGTTGTAAAGTTAGGTTGTTAATTTGAGTTCTTTCTTCTTTTTTTTTTAATGTAAATGTTTACTGCTGTAAATTTCCCTCTAAGCTCTGCCTTCACTGTGTCCCGTAAGTTTAGGTATGCTGTGCTTTCTCTTTCATTCATTGCTAAGTATTTTCAGATTTCCCTTTTGATTTCTTCTTTGACTCATTGGTTGTTTAATAGTGTGATGTTTAATTTCCACATATTTGTGTGTGTAATTACCAGTTTTCCTCTGTTAATGATTTCTAATTTCATTCCATTGTGGTCCGAGAAGATACTTTGTATGATTTCAATCTTTAAAAAAAATTTATTGAGGGGGACCTCATACCATCAAGAAAGCAGTGCCAGGAGCAGAGCACATCCTTTGGACCGGGGTCCCTACGCAGAGAAGCTTCTAGTCTGGGGGAACACTGAAGAGAAGAAGGCCGACAGAGAGAAAAAGCCTTCCCCTGGAGCTGGTGCCCTGAATTTGGGCTTTTAGCCTACTTTGACTATGAGGAAATAAACTTCTCTTCATTAAAACCATCCACTTGTGGTATTTCTGTTGTAGCAGCACTAGATGACTAAGACAGAATTTGGTACCGAGAGAGTGGGGTGCTGCTCTAACAGATGCCTAAAATGTGGAAGCGGTTTTAAAACTGGGAATGGATAGACGCGCGGCAGTGACAGAGGACCAGCAGCAGCAGAGAACCTACAGCAGCAGAGAAGCAGCAGCAGCAGAGAACCAACAGCAGTAGAACCAGGAGGTGGGTGAAAGATGGTGCTGGAGCCGACCCACGGAGCGAGAGAGCTGAATGCCTGTGAGCAGGAGGCTTCCTGGCAGAGTGGGGTGCCTCTGGGCACTTATCGGTGGAGCTAGGCTTGCCGACCCATGGAGCGAGGGAGCTGCGTGTCTGTGCGCAGAAGGCTTCCTGGCGGAGTGGGGTGCCTCTGGGCACTTGCCAGTGGAGCTACTGAACTTTGGAACACTTGCCCCAGCAGGGCAGATGCGGGCGTGAGGCCCGAGGGCGAAGAGGCCATAGGAAGCAGAAGCTGAAGAGACAGGGGACACAAGAAGCCGAGCTGCTTCAGCCTCAAAAGCTAAGAGCACTATCTCACATTTTAGCAATACCAGTAGAAGTAATACAGGCAGATTCTCCACCTGTTGTAGTTGGTGAAGAATATTCAAAAAAACTATTAATACTTGTATATATGAGACGTGCATATGGCTTAGGAGAACATTACAATTCTGTTACACGGCTAATGAACACAGCTACTGAAAATTGCAGCTAGTTTACAAAATGTTGTGCAATTAAATGTTTTAGAACAGTATGCCCATCTGAGTATTCATACCAACTGCTGGATTGTTCCAAATGTTCCTGAGAAACACAACTACCTTCCGTGAGCTTTATGGCGAAGCTACTAACAGGTTTTCAGAAATGTGTCAGACATAAACAATATCCCCTGATTGGTATTTTTAAAATTGTAAAATCCATTGTGGAGAAATCATTCATAGACCAAGATAGTACCCTACTCACTGATATTTTCATTGAAATAAGACCTTGGACACTCTGTTCTGTGTTGGAATAAATTTTAATTATCTTTCATGTTACTAAAAGCTTTAACTATTTCGTGTAACTTTGCTTGAAGAAGTGAATTGACTCAGTCTGTTTATCATTGCAATATGTGGAGGGTGGTGATAGCAGATACAACTAGTGCTTGTAAGTGAACTTGATCACTGTAACGTTGGTATTGATGGAACTAATGCCATGAAACTTTTTATTTAACCCCATCAAGGTGCAGTTTAAGAAACTTGTTTTAATAATTAAGAATTTTTAAATATTTATTCAGATGGGAATCAGCTGTTGAGTTGAAAGAAATGAGACAAATTTGAAGGCAACCAGATGTTCTCTATCAGTTTAAAACCTGTAAAGAGTTAGAGATTAGCTTTATATTTGTATGTAACTTAAGAAAACAAACAAAAACCCAACAGATGACTGTATCTTTCTAATTTATTATTTATTCCTTGCTGTTTCTTAAACTCTGAAATTAGTACCATCATCTTTTAGTCATCTTCAGGACTACATCTTTGTATTCTCTCTGTGTTTTCCTGTCACTAGGTAGCTGGTATGCTTTCCTTGCAGTCTTTTCTCTACCTTGTACACGTTGAGGGAGTAGCAACGTTAAAGGGCCCAAGTTTGGTCACATTTACTTAATTTTTCTTTTCCAATTTACCTTACAAGCTCTCATTGTTTTTGCTTCATTTTCTAGGATTAGCAGAAAATCTTTGTTACTTGTTATTTTGTTAGGTTTATTAATATCACCTTCCCTTTAACACAAATATTTGAGAATGCTTATATAACATGTATGAATAAAGTTAAAAGCCACTGTCTGGGAGTCAAGATGTGTATAGTAAAATCAGTATGCAGTAGTTTTAGGGTTGAGTGATTTATCTAGCACCAATTTCAGGTGACTCACAACAGTATTCTTTCTATGAAGATAGTACCCATATATACAAATGTATCTGATCATTTGTTATGTAAGGAAGTATTGTCTGTGAAAATGAGCCCTTTTTGGTTTGATCTGTTTTTCCCAAACTAGTAAGATATATCATCAAGTTTATAATATTTGATTTTTTTTCTTCCGTAAGTACTTTTTGTAAGTAGACATTGTGTTTGTAATATTTAAAATGGGTTGTCAGGGAACAAATGTGTGACTCTAGCAGGGACTGTGGTAAACCAGCACAAGTAAGGCTTGCCTTAAGGCATCCTGATTCAAAAGTTTCAAAAGCATTCTGCCTGCCAAACAAAATATATTCTGAAGGCTGCCTGTTTTGTAATCTTTAATTTGAATGTTTCTGGGGTCTGAAATTTATAAAAGAATGCAATGGTAAAATAGTAGATGTCTTGGCTTTATTTTGAAGTAATCTGTTACTTAAAAATTCAAGCATTCTAAAGTAATATAAACAAGATATTATAAAACTTAGGTACTGTAATTTCCATCTACATCGAAAGCATTCTAAAATAACATTGGTAGCTTTTTTTTCCTAAACAATGTGCTGAGTAGAGTTTTCTTGATTATAGATTTATTTTTAATTTTTATTACTGTTTTAAAAAAATTTAAATAGCCAATATGGTTATAAACAAGATTTGTATGGCTGGCTTCTGTTTTTTCGTAAGACTTCAGATAAACATCATTTTAGCTGTAGCCTAAACTTGAAGTCCTTCAAAAATGGAAGATGTTAATTTAAAAGCCGCATATACTAATTTAGTTTGCTATATGATGATGGTCTAATGGAAGTTTTGTAAGCTTGCTTTTGTCCTGACTCAGAAAAGTATATTTCAGAGTTCTGCAATATGTCTTTAGCCAATAATTTTATCCACTTTAATATGTTTACAATTTGTACAAAGCAAAAAAATGTGTGTAGTTATAGTGAGCAATATAGTTTTGCTCACATTATCTGATCTTTGCCGAAAAAGAATAAAAGATGAATTAAATAAAAAAATTTGTTGAGACTTATTTTGTGACCTAGCATAGGGTCTGTCCTGGAGAATGAACCGTGTGTACGGAGAATAAAGTGTATTATACCCTTGTTGGATGGAATATTTTACATGTGTCTGTTATGCCTTGTTGGTTTATAGTGCTGTTCAGGTCCTCTATGGTATTATTGATCTTCTTTCTAGATGTTCCAGCAGGCTGTTTTTTTTTTTTTTTAAATTAAATCTCTATCCTACTATTCCATATTTTAGGCTATCTGTCTATGAAAGTTACTTTATTGAGGAGGGATGGAATCTTGACAGTAAAAGATGAATTCAGTAAAATAGTGGATGCATGGTTTTTCATTAAATTCAGCTTAATATATAGACTTAACACATAGACTGCTGTATCTCTCGTTGTTGGTCCAAATTTCATGTTACATAGCAATATGGTAGTCAGGTTTATTTCTTTCCCCAGAATAAATCTTTATGAGGTGAAAGCCATAAGGTGGATAAGTTGAGATGCTAAATAAATAGATGTTCTCTTGTTCTTCCCACATGCAGTCCTTTCCTCAGCTCTCAGGCTTTTATGCTGTTTTCTGGTGTCATAACCCATTTCCTGCTGGAGAGTTAATGCCATCGCTACACTTTCTTCATTTAGATTGAGGCAAGCTTTCTAAATAGTCTCAAAGGCATTTTCCCTCTCCCTGTCCCAGCGCAAATCTATTTTTTCATCTTTTACTTGAATTGCTCCTTTCTAAACAGAGTTTTGCCACTTTCTCCCTCCTTTTCAACCGTACTATCCCTTTACCAAATTCTGTTTTTAACACATTTCGGGTCAACTTACACATCTTATGTCAGCGTTGATCGTTAAGTTGGTATTTGAGCTTCTCGCTGTAATTTTGATATGTATGTAAATACTGGTTAGATTTGTTTTTCTAACTAACATCAAAAGGCATTGAAAATGAAAGCAGTTTGAACAGGAGGAAAAGTCTGGTAGTAGATCTATAGGCTGAGAGAAGCGTACCATCTTAGGAAGAAAGCATTTATGAATGCCAAGCACTTGTACACATACACATACACACACACACAGTTCTAGTGATGATTTTTCTAAAGAAACCAGTATTTCTTTATCTTCAACTCAATTCCTCATGTATTTATTGAATGCTTGTTCTGAACACTGCCCCAGCTTCAATAAAAAAATGAACAAATCTTATCCTTTGTCCTGTTAGAGGACATATATAGATGATATTATAAAAAAAGGTAATTATGAAACATCTCAAAAGCTATAAGAAAATTACTAAGTACGGTAGCATCTCAGGATAGAGATTAATCCTAGTTGGGTCGATCAGAGAAAGCTTAATGAAGGTAACACATTTGAGTGAGTTTTAAAGGGTTTGTTAGTCTTTGTTTAAAAGAAGCCAAAAGAATAATTTTTATTTATTTATTTATTGTCAGCTAACAGAGACCCTGTAGTAAAAATTCTGGGCTCGGATTATAGTACAACAAAAAGAGAAGACTCATCTGCATTAAGGATTCTTGATAAAATTATCAAAGATGATGATCCAGAGCATGAGATCAAGACCAACATCGCCATGCTGATTCAGCAGATGGATATGCACCTGCTCAATTATTCACTAAAACATATTTCATTGTGAGTCTTTTTGAAAGGGAAACTTCTAAAAATTAGTTATGAAAATTGCTTTCAGCATTTTAGAGAAAATGCATGAAAAATAAAATATGGAAGCTGTTGCTGTTGATTTAACATTAAATTTTACTGGAACAAAATTTTAGTTTTATTGGATGGTTATAAATTTTAAAAATTAAAATTTACAGTTAACATCGCCAAAACATTCCAGTGAGGTTTCATCTAATTCTGAAGACGTTAAGTGGCCTTGTTATTTTCGAAGACTCTTAAGAATGTTACATAAATTATTAAATTATCATGCAAATGCAGAGCTTGTACAGTCCAGAATGTGTTCATTTTCTTGAGAGAATTAAAATACTTATAATTAAGCAATGAAATGAATATTTAATGGAATATATTTAATGTTACATCAGATGTAAATCACAAATTCCTTGAAGTTTTACCAATGCTGTTACAAGATTATAACAAGGCTAAAATACACTGCAATTTTAATTTCAAAATATACGCCCCGATGTAACGCAGTATTTTTATGTCTTTTCTGTAGATTCTGTTTTAAAGCATTTAAACTTATTTTTTAAACATTTATTTCAGAGAAATACGTTTAAATCCATCAGCCATTAAGAATGATGTGGAACTGCTGCAGCGTTACTCAGGAAAAGGAGAACAGACAGTCTTGGAATCTATCGAATATACCTCAGGTTTGTATCTTTTCAGATTCATTTCATGTTGTATGTTGTTTGTTGTCAGTTGCTGTCGACTCGATTTGTACTTAACAATCCCGTGTGTGGAGTAGAACTGCTCTGTAGGGGTCTCAAGGCTGTGACCTTTCAGAAGCAAATTGCCAGACCTGTCTCCTGAGGCGCCTCTGGGTGGGTTCGAACCACCAACCTTTCAGCTAGTCGTCAAGTGCTTAACTGTTGGTGCCACCCAGGGACTCCCGTATTGTATACATTTTCATAATTTTCAAAATGCTTCTATGGCTGCATTAGAATTGAATATTTAAAAAAGTGAAAACTTAAAATTTCAATCATATTTATTTTTTAAAGCGAACACATTTTGTAAAACTCTGGATTAAGGCACCCCTATTAATTGACTGATGATTGATTTCAGACTACGAGTTTTCAAATGGATGTCGAGCCCCACCTTGGAGACAGATTCATGGGGAAATGTGTTATGTGCTGGTGAAACCACACGATGTTGAGGCTTTGTGCATTACTTGTAGTACAGAAGGAGTGTTTTTAAATGGTGTAAGTATTTTTTTTTTTAATCTGAAACCAGTTGAATTTGGACCTTAAACCAAAAAAATCAAACCTGTTGCCATCAAGTATTCTGACTCCTAGTGGCCCTATAAGACAGAATAGAGCTGCCCCATAGGGTTTTGAAGGAGCAGCTGGTGGATTCCAACTGCCAGCATTTTGGTTAGCAGCTAAGCTCTTAACCGACCTTAGCTGACCAGACAGACCAGACCAAACCAAACCAAACCAGGCCTGTTGTCATCCAGTCAATTCCGACTCATAGCGGCCCAATAGGACAGGGTAGAACTGCCCCATAGGGTTTCTGAGGCCGAAATCTTTACAGAAGCAGACCGCCACATCGTTCTCCCATGGAGCAGCTGGTGGACTTGAACTGCTGACTTTTGGTTAGCAGCTGAGTGTTGAACACTTGCGCCACCAGGGCTCCTTTTAGACCTTAGCTGGTGTCTATAATTGATGCTGGTATGTCTCAAGGATTATATCCATGTGACTGCAGAGTATGAAACATTGTTCTGTGAGATTGGAGCAGATCCCTTTGCTATGCATTTTCTGGACATGTCTAAAATGGTCTCAGAATTAGCGTCGCTGTTCACCATTGCCAGGTCATTAAGTCAGTCTTTTAAGAAATGGGCTTCAAAGTGACTCATTCTACTTTATAACTTAAACCTCTTTTACATAATCATTTCAATGAGTAGTTACTCAGAGACTGAAGGAGCGAAAATGCAAGAAGGGGGCATTGAAATACAGGAATAATAATTGCAGCTTCCACCCTAACTGTTGGGGGGACCAAGGGAAGGAGGGCGGGTTATGAGAAGCTTGGAGGAAGTGCCCCACGAAGCTGGGACCCAGACCTCTGGGGAGGGGGCACTTCCGGACAGTGCTGGTCCCGTAGGAGCTCAGAGGAGGACCCCACAGAGCTGGCCCCATGGTGCCACCATAATTGTGCTGGTACCTCAGGAGCTCAGAGGAGGGCCCCACAGAGCTGGCCCCACGGTGCCGCCATAATTGTGCTGGTACTTCAGGAGTTCAGAAGAGGGCCTCACAGAGCTGGCCCCACGGTGCCGCCATAATTGTGCTGGTACCTCAGGAGTTCAGAGGAGGATCCTTGTAAAGCTGGCAGAGTTGGGCCCAGACATTTGAAGATGGAGCACTCGTCAGCTGATAATGGTATTTCCGAGGGGATGTGATGAGCCTAGTTCAGGATCCCAGGACTGTGGGAAAAAAAAAAAAAAGCGCTGGAAATTAGAATCAACTGTTGCTACTGGAAGCAACTGCCACTGCCGGAGGTGAGGGGCCGTTGCTGGGGTGACGGTAACGGGGATGGTGTGTGAACAGGAAGGAGCGTGCCCCTTCCTGCAGCTTTCAGTCTTCTTTTCGCTTCTTGTTGGCCGAAGCTAACCTAACCTGGCAAAGGAGAAATACAGAGAAATAATCCCAGCCCTGAGTATCACAAAGCAGAGTATGGATGGGTGGGTTTTGAGCCAAGAGAGAAACAGCACATAGCCTTCTGAATTCTCTGGATTAAAAAACTTGTTGGTCTCACACCTGTTCACTGAACCTTGGTGGAAGGTGCCATACTCAGCTGTGTCCTCTGCAACATCCCATCCTCAGTGTAAATTTGGGACTCCCATGCATGCTTTACAGGGAGGACCTAGATCCTTAATGGGGACCCAGCTGTCACGGGGGACTGCTGGCAGAGTTGGTGCACCTTTGCCTGGGTTGGTATCTAAATGCTGCTGCCACTTTACGGGTCCCTCATCAGCATCTCTTCTCTCTCACATGTCTTTTCTGGTGCTTTAATAAGCATCCAACTTAACTTATTTCTGCAGAGATAAGGTACATGACCCAAATCTGATTTTTTCTGTTTACTTCGATATTTTAGAAAACTGAACTCTTTAATAAGGAAATAGGAGAATTAAAGAAGGAATGGTTTTCTAGAGTAGGACAAAACATCTTTGTTTGTCAAACAAACACGTGTGTGTATGGTGTGTATATGTGTGTGTGTGTATGTGTACACAGGATTTTATTTGATATGAAAACATCTAAGTATTCCGTTCAGCGTTAAAAATGAAAGACGAACATAAAACTACTAAATAATTACAACAACATTTATAACACAGTACATAATATATATACATGTAATCTGTTCCAGGAGAAAAATAGGGGTAGGGAGAAAGAAGATGAAGACAGGACAGAGAGAGAAGGAAGGGGGACAGAGACAGAGGGCTGGTGCAGGGGCAGATGGTTACTGGAGATCACAACCCTAGAAAATAAGCCTACCGCAACCGTGCTACGTACAGAACAAGAGCAGAGTGTGACAGACACTCAGCCTTTCCCTAGGGGACATTCTAATCTTGAGGCCTTTTATGACCTCGTCATTAAGGCCCTTGATGTCATAATGTGTTTTCACAGTGGAGGACTGCAGAGGAAAGGAAGCTGTCACTGCTCTGCCGGACGGCAGAGTGCCCTCCACGCACATGGCAGGTACTCAGTAGACGCTGGATCAATGAGTGAGTGGAGAGACAGTGTTCACTTAAGGGGGAACGTAGGCTTGGCTTCTACATTTCATGTATAAAGACCACCACCCGTACCCTTTAGAAAACAGTATGTAGGCTTAGGTTGTGATGTACTGATCAGGTTCTTATATTGCTATTACATTAATAATAACACAGAACATTTTTCCCCCAAAGGGCAAAACAGATGATGCGACAGAAATTAATTATGAGAGAAAAGGTAAAATTTATAAAGACCTTATCACGATTTTGAGAGAAAAATCAGCAACATTTTCAAAGAATATGGCCAAACAGGTAAGTTGTATAGTTTCTTTTGAACTTTCCTAAGATTGTATTACTTAACTGCATCTTTATAAATATAAAAAATTGGAGAGTACAATTTTGGACACAGCTTTTAAATATTAGTGTTTTTCACAATATAATATAAAATAAATACTGTGAACAGAGTACTTCAAGAATTTCTCTGATTTTCTTTAGGTGATAGGTATATTTTCAAATTGTTTCCTGAATAGGACTTTTTTATCTTTCCTTTTTGAATTAATAACACTAAGAACAGAGGGCCCAGTCTGTTAATACAGCTTAGATGTTTTGATTATTTTTTTCTTTTCTGAAAAAAAAAATTACTACCTAGTTGGGTTGTCACTAATATGTGTGTGATCTGCATGTGGATAAGAACTGTACTACTTTTGTATTTTCTATGGTTTTTGAAATAGTGCTGGATGTAGAAATCAGTTGATAACGTATTTTGTTAAATAAAATTTTAGTTAAAGCTGATGATGGTAGAAAAAGGAGATGCAGGTAATACTCAGGTGAAACACTTCAGCTAAAATTAACTCCAGGCTGATTCCCAAGACTCTGGCATGTGCACAAGTTCCCACATCAGCTAAGTTATCAGGGCTATTTTCTCCTGGCCCTGCCCCTCGGGAGTCCCCCGTTCTCTTGCTAGACGCCGCTCTTGTCCTGCCACCTCTCTTTGTCATCATCTTGTAAATTCTTTTTGTTGCCTATTGTTGGATCCCTTTTCCTGGATCCCAGTTTTCCCTTTTTTTGGTACACTCTGTCATTTTGGTGGAGCTTCCTGAGTTTAAGATGTATATGGGAGGAAAAGAATTGAGAGTCAGCAAGATTGAAAATATACTTCTTTCTCATTGGTTGTTTCCAGAATGATAGTTTGAAAATCAGCTTTACTTAGAATTTTAAAGGCTTTTTTTTTTCTGTGTGACTTGTTTGTTTTGGATTTTCCTCTCTTTTCTCATTCAAAAATGTATACACATATTGTTTTGTGACATTAGTTGCAATCCCCACAATGTGACAGCACGCTCCCCCTTTCCAACCCGGGTTCTCTGTGTCCATTCGTCCAGTTCCTGTCCCATCCTGCCTTCTCATCCTGCTTTTGGACAGCAGCTGCCCATTTGCTCTCATAGAGCTGATTGAACTAAGAAGCACGCTTCTCACACGTATTATTTTTTGTTTTAGAGTCGTGTCTAAACTTTGTCTGAAGAGTGGGCTTTGGGAATGGTTTCAGTTCTGGATTAACAGTGCATCTGGGGGCCACAGTTTTGGGGGTTCCTCCAGTCTCTGTCAGACCATTAAGTCTGGTCTTTTCATGTGAATTTGAGTTCTGTCCTACATTATGCTCTTTGTCGTGTTCCCTGTCAGGGCCGTCATTGGTGGTAGCCGGGCACCATCTAGGTCTTCTGGTCTCAGGCTGGTGGAGTCTCTGGTTCACGTGGTCCTTTAGTCCTTTGGGCTCATATTTTCCTTGTGTCTTTGGTTTTCTTCATTCTCCTTGCTCCAGGCAGGATGGGACCAGTTGATATATCTTAGATGGCCACTCGTAATACACCAGACGCCACTCACCAAAGCGGAATGTAGAACATTTTCTTAATGAACCATGTTATGCCAGTTGACGTAGATGTTCCCTGAAACTGTGGTCCCCAGGCCCCAGCCCCAGCTACTCTGTCCCTCAAACTGTTTGGATGTGTCTAGGAAACTGCTTTGCTTTTGCCTTGGTCCAGTTGTGCTGACTTCCCTGAATTGTGTGTTGTCCTTCCGTTCACCAAAGTTGATCCTGTTGTAGTTAAATTTGTATATTGATTTTATATCCTGAAACCTTGTGAAATTAACTTTTTAGTTCTAATAGCTCATTTGTATATTCCAGAGTTTTCTATATAGGTAGATGATCATATTGTCTCTGAATAAAGATCATTTTACTTCTTCCTTTCCAATCTCAATGCCTTTCATTTCCTTTTTCTATTCTTAGTGCACAGGCTAGAACCTCCAGTACAAAATTGAATAAAGATGATGAGAAACAGACACCCTTCGCTTGTTCCTGATCTTAAGGAGAAAGCTTTCATTCTCTCATTTTTAAGTATGATGTTAACTAGGTTTTACAGAGATTCCATTTATAAGGTTGATGAAGTTCCCTTCTATTCCTAGTTTGCTGAGAATTTTTATTATGAATGGATTTTGAATTTTCTGTACCTGTTGAGATGATCATGTGGATTTTCCTTTTTAGTTTGTTAATATGGCAAATTACACTTATTTTTTAATGATAAACCAACCTTATATTTGTGGGACAAACCTCACTTGCTTGTGTGTATTACATTGTTTTTTATATATTGTTGGGTTTGATTTGCTAAAAAATTTTTTGTTGGGAGTTTTTTTTATTACCTTTCAAATCTCTTCTCTTGTTATGGATCTGTTCAGACTTTCAATATCAATTTGTGATAGTTTGAGTAGGTAGGGTATTTCTAGAAATTTGTCTGTTTCCTCTAGATTTTCAAATTTATTGGAGTATAGTTTTTCATAATGCTCTGTTATCCTTCTTATTTCTGTTGGGTCTGTTGTAATGTCCCCCATTTCATGTCTTATTTGGGTTATTTGCGTCCTCCTCTTGTTTTTCTTTTGTCAGTCTGGCCAGTGGTTTGTCGATTTTGTTGATCTTTTCAAAGAACCAACTTTTGGTTTTGTTGATTCTTTCTGTTGTTTTTCTGTTCTCTGTTTCATTTATTTCTGCTCTGATCTTTATTATTTCCTTTCTTCCGGTGGCTGTAGGCTTCTTTTGCTGTTCTCTTTCTATTTGTTCGAGTTGTGTAGCTAATGTTTTGATTTTGTCCTTTCTTCTTTTTTGATGTGTGCATCTGTTGCTATAGATTGTCCTCTGTCCACTGCCTTTGCTGTGTCCCAAAGGTTTTGGTATGATGTGTTTTCATTCTCATTTGATTCTAGGAATTTTTTGATTCCGTCTTTGATTTCTTCTATTACCCAGTGGTTTGTAAGCAGACCATTATTTAGTTTCCATGTAATTGATTTTTTTTCCTTGCTCTTCCTGTTGTTAATTTCTACTTTGATGCGTTGTGATCAGAGAAGATACTTTGTATTATCTCAGTGTTTTGGATTTCATTGAGGGTTGCTCTACGGCCTAAGATGTGGTCTATTCTGGAGAATGTTCCATATACGTTGGAAAATAATGTGCACTTTGCAGCAGTTGGATGGAGTGTTCTATATATGTCTGTGAGTTCAAGTTGGCTGATTGTGGCCTTTAGATCTTCTGTATCTTTGCTGAGTTTCTTTCTTGATGTTCTGTCCTTTACTGAGAGTGGTGGGTTGAAGTCTCCTGCTATTATAGTGGAACTGTCAATTTCTCTTTTCAGTGCTGTTAAAAGTTTGTTTTATGTATTTTGGAGCCGTGTCATTGAGTGCGTAGGTATTTATTATGGGTATGTCTTCATGATGGATCATCCGTTTAATCATGATATAGTGCTCTTCTTTGTCTTTTATGGTGGATTTTGTTTTAAAGTCTATTTGATGTGAGATTAGTATTGCCACTCCTGCTCATTTTTGGTGGCTGTTTGCTCAATTTTTTTTTCCATCTTTTGATTTTTAATAAATTTATGTCTTTGTTTCTAAGGTGTGTCTCTTGTAGACAGCATATTGATAGATCCAGTTTTTTAATCCATTCTGTAACTCTGTCTCTTTATTCATGCATTTAGGCCATTTACATTCAGTGTAATTACTGATAGGTGTGTTTATTGCTGTCTTTTTGTAGTGCTTTTTTTTGTGGTACTGACAATTTCTTTGTTCCTCTTACTCTCCTGTGCTGAATTCCTTTTGTTTGTGGATTTTTTTTTTTCATTTCTTTTGTTTTTGGTGTAGTGGTTAAGAGCTATGGCTGCTAACCAAAAGGTTGGCAGTTTGAATCCACCAGGCGCTCCTTGGAAACTCTGTGGGGCAGTTCCACTCTGTCCTGTGGGGTTGCTATGAGTCAGAATCAACTTGATGGCAACGGGTTTGGTATGTTTTTTTATGATTTTATTCTTTATCTTGATGAGTAGGTTTGTTAACTTTCTTTGTGGTTACCTTGAAATCTACCCTCATCTTCCTGGGTTTGAACCAGTCTATTATTACTTGGTATCATCTTGCCTTCTTCTCCATTAGAAAGTTCTATGCCTACACTGTTTATTCCCTCTTTTATTGTTCCAATGTTGTTGGCATTTACAGATTAACTCTCTGGTTCCCTTTGGTAATTTGTTTGGCTCTGCATAGTCCTTGAGAGTTCATTTCCTGGGTTGGTATCCAGCTGGTACGATCTTATGTCCTAGATTCAGGCGGTGGTCTGATGTTGTTTGTTCTCAAACCAAAGGACTCCCTTTAATAATTCTTGTAAGTTTGGTTTGATTTTTACATATTCCCTTAATTTCTGTTTATCTAGAAATGTCCTAATTTCACCATCATATTTGAATGAGAGTTTTTGCAGGATATGTTATTCTTGGTTGGCAGTATTTTTCTTTCAAGGTTTTATATATGTCATCCCATTGCCTTCTTGTCTGCAGAGTTACTGCCAAGTAATCAGAGCTTAGTCTTATTTTTTCCCCTCTGTATGTGACTTTTCATTTTTCTCAAGCTGCTCTCAGAATTCTTTGTTTGTCTTTGGTTTTTGCGAGTGTCATTATGATATGCCTTGGTGAATTTCTTTTCGGGTCTATCCTGTGTGGGGTTCATTGAGCTTCTTAGATAGTCAGCTTTTCATCTTTCATGATATTAGGGAAGTTTTATATCAGCAATTCTTCAATGATCCTATCTGTGTTTTTCGTTTTCTCACCCTGTTCTGGAACTCTGATCACTCACAGTTTTTTGCTTTTGTTTGTATCCCACATAATTCTCAGGGTTTCTTCACTTTTTTTGTTCTTTTTTCTGATTTTTCCTTGAACAAAGTTGTATACAAGTGTTTGTCTTCAATTTCGCCGATCCTGTCTTCCAGTGTTTCAAGCCTGCTCCTCAGCCCTTCTATG